TACTATTATTATTATTATTATTATTTTTTTATTATTAATAATAATAAAGCCATGTAATAAAAACGAGTGTAATAACACTTTGACGTGACGTCATTTGCGCTATATAGAAACATAGCGTTAAAGCGCGCTAATAATAACGTTACACTATAGGCGCGTCATTGAAAAATTACTCATTTTAACATTTGACTGTTCTTATTTTATATATGTAATGAAAAGAATATTATATTCGTGTAGATTCAATACTAAATTTTTTGAACTCGTTGAATAAAACAATATTATGCTCGCCAGAGGCTCGCATAATATGATCTTATTCAACTCGTTCAATAAATTTAGTATTAAACTACACTCATTTAATATTCTCTATTTATGCGAGCCTCTGGCGAGCATTATATAATTTTATTCAACGAGTTCAATAAACTCAGTAATGAACTTACACGAATTTAATATTCTATTTATCACATACTATAAATAATTAAAGACCGTTTTAAGTGAAAAAGATTCATTTTTCATATGACGCTAACATTTAGCGCGTCTTTACACTATGTTTGTATAACACAAATGACATCACGTCAAAATATATGCACGGCTGTGCAACACCATTTTTACGGAGTCGCAAAAGCGACACGGGTATGTGATAAACTCTATTTCATTGACGCGACTATATATAATCAAAGGGCTGCAAGCTCTGTGGTATTTTCTGATCTTTGCAATCTAAATCGCACTGTATGTCTGTATGTATTTTCCTGTATAAGCTTATTTTTATATACTATAATTCATCTTACAGGGCACCGTGATGCAGCGACTGCGTTTAGATTTTTTACTATAACAGTTTGAGTTTGATACATACGGAATTTTGCATGACTTGAGTTGCATCAAGAAAATCATATATGTTCATTTTTTATGACAGCCACACTTTATCCTTGTATATCGTGGTTACTTTCTTAAAAAAGGCACTTAAAAAGAATAGTTGCATCGACTGGGATTTGAACCCAGACCTCTCACACCCTAAACGAGCGCGACAGTGTTACAGACGGCTTTAATAAGCAATCGTATATTGGACCACAAGGGTGTGGGATGGATATAATTTTAATGACTTGTTATTTGGTATAATGATAGCTTTTTCTTCACGATTTGTTCTGTTGACATTTTTATAAAATTAATTAAAGCACGGAACTTGAGGCTTGCTCAAGGGAGGTCATACCACGTGCGTGTATCCCGAAAATTCTGATACCGCGAACACTTTATCAACCGGTATTTTGAACAAAAACGAGTCATGTTAAACAATCAGAATAAATTTGAATTTAATTTCTTTTGCAAAGAAGAAGCCCTTACTTCTAATTTTTGTATTCCAAATGCCTTGACACAACTCTTCCCTTTCTCGTCAGTATTTCGCGTTGAATGCGATTTTGATTCTGGATACTGCACACTCGGCATTGAAATGTTACAGAAATTGAGAAATTAGTACTATGTAATAGACAAAAACAATTAAAAGGATATAATCCCGATGTAGTTTACCATGTAATGATATCCAAGTATAATTTTTGATCCAAATTATAGTGACAATAGGCATATAATGTATAACATCTGCAATGCATGCTTAGCGGCAAGGCGACAACACGCGAACGCCGACAAATTAAGAAAATTAACATTTCTTCGTTCCCAATCGTGTTGTCGCTTTTGTTTTGAATGCAGAGGGCGACAGCACGAGATAACGCCAAATATTTAAGAAATAACATCGGCCTGAGAGGTGTATATCGGCTATTTAACACCGGTTTGGAGTTTTGATGCGTAGGAATTGACCACGAAGGCCGTACGTAGGCCTGAGTGGTTAATTTTGTCGCATCAAAACGACAAAACCGGTGTTAAATAGCCGATATACACCTCTCCGGCCGATGTTTTTTCGATTCTAACACGATATAAAGTTTCCTTTTAAAAGGAAAGGCTTGCTCAGTTGTGCCTTCATCCCAACCCTTTAAAAATTTTTTTTTTTTTTTGTTTCAATTTATTATCACAATTTTTTTTTGAATTACGGTATTTGTATATCATAAAGGGTTTATTTTGTTGTTGTTTTTTGTCAAAACGAATATTTTTTGTCAAAACGATTTGAAATCTATTCTCTATTGTATGAAACTAATAAAGAAAATAATCAATCGTAAAAATACTAACGTGGAGATCTATCTATCATACTGAAGGGAAACAATTAAGTGTGCACATGTTATTTCCACTTTTTTCGCAGAGAAATCATTCGTTTTGGCAGTTGCTAATTTCATTTATATAGCAGCTTTATAGACAAGTAAATGCAATAAAATACTTTGTTACGTGGTACCAATTTATAAGCATGTATCAACTCACGATCACAGATACGATGCGCTATCTGTAGATCAGCACGTGGTAAGGTTAATGATAATTATGCATGGACTATTTTTAGATTACCTCACCAAGACGTTGAATTGCGTTCAGTAGATCTAAATATAACTCGATCATGCACTAATATTCTGTGTGATTTGGTAAGCAGGACCACCCCTTGGAGACGGAATTCTAACTACAGTTAACCATTCTCTATTGTATAAAAGCTAATACAGACAAAAAAAAAAACAATTATAAAAAGAAACTAACTTTTTGCGTCTTTGAAAAAGAATTGAAACGGAACAATTTCGTTTATAATTTATAACGGTTTTAAGTAAAAATAGAAATCTATTGATATAACAAACTGGGATTACGTGAGTGTTAGGGCACCAACACGTCGAATATTGGACGACAATGCGATAATTTTATCTTCGTGTTGTCGCATTTAAATCTGGTATCGGCGCTTTCTTATTTTCGTTTTGTCGTGATGTCGCGTTTGAAAGGCGCTGACACAAAAATATTTTGAATCCAGTGGAACAGATTTCTTTGGATTTTCAGCAAAACTAAATATGTAAATGTATTTTAATGCATTTTCATGTATGAGGTCAAAGTCAAATATCGTAATTGACGTAAATGAACATAGAATCAAGATTTGATAAAAATAGATGCCTTCTATTTTCTTTGCTTGCTAACATTAATGGTCGAACAACGCGGTAAAAATAAAATGTTTTAGATTGCTATGCGTCAAAGCTATGCGGGGGCATTCTCTGTTTTTCAAACGACACAAACTCAGAGTATTTAAAATGGAAAATCTTATATAAGAATCAAATGATAAGTCTGTTTGAAAAAGACCCTGGATCTAATTGAACCTGTTTATTTTCGGCATTGGTTTATCGGAAGAAATAAAGAAACAGTTATGTCCTGCCCTTTTGCTGTGTCACTTTGATTATTCTTCATCTTCTTGGTACGATGGACTGAGTAAGTCACTGAAGCACAAACTTCAAGTAGCTCAAAATAAGGTTGTGCGCTTTATAAAAGACTTCACTCCTAGGACTTCAGTGACAAATAAGGTTCTGTCCGATCTTAAATTATTAAATGTCAATGATAGAGTTAGACAGTTAAGACTCAACCACATTCATAAAGTTTATTACAACAAAAGCCCTTCTTATTTAAAGGAATTGTTTAAGGTTTGTAGAATATCCAATTTAAGATCTAGTAATTTTAATTTTGTTTTGCCTCAAAATAATTCTTGTTTTAAAAATACATTTTTCTACAATGCCATAAAAGACTGGAATTCTTTACCAGACAACATTAGATCAATTGACAATATCCGAACATTTAAAACGAAAGTAAAACTTTTTTAAGTAATGAAAATGATAAACAAGTGAATAATATGTTTATTTATTATTAAATTGATGTGTAACTTATAATAAGGTTTTGTAACATGTTTAATTATGTGTACTTGATATGTTTTAGTTTAAACGAAATTTATTTCATTTTGTTTGTGTACAATGTACTTGTCTTATTATATATTGAAAAATGTGTCTTGATTGTTGAAAACTGTCATTTATTTTAACTTCTTTATAACTCATTTATTATTATGTAAGTTAGTGTAATAATTTTACAGAAAATGGACCCCATTGGAAATAAGCTTTTAGCTTAATGGGCTATCCTAGGGTTACATAGAACTTACGCATTCATTAATCTTATAATTAATTTTTTTTGCATTTATATGTGTGTGTTTTTATATATATGCAAGTTGATATCTGTGATAAAATTGTATGTGTATATGTGTATATGTCTATTCCCTGAATAAATCGATACGATTGGTAAATGCCAATAATATTAAGAAAAGTTATAAGTCAAGTAAATAAAAGAAGACGTATACAAAATGTTATATATATTTAAATAAACAGTAGGAAATGTATAGAGTTTGTTAAAAGTGAAAATTAACAATCCGACATACATGTAGACCTATGTGTTATGGTGGAATGTGCTCAAAACGAAAACTGTTCTTAGAGAGAACGGAAATTCGTAGTAGTCTGTCTGGGTATATATGCTGCCCCTAACGGGGTGAGATAACCTTCCATGGCGAATATATCATGCGTGATTTTGTACATAAATCAAAGCCTACTTCCTGTTTCCGCAAAAAAAGATATAGAATAAGTTAGAATATATAGAGGCTCCCAATAAAGATACACTGATGGGAAAGAAGTCGATATGGTATACATTTGTACACTGACTTCTTTACTGAATTTGAACAATCTTATAAATTTGAGTGATATATTTTAGTGTCAAATATGTTAACTCATAGAGCTAAATATAGCTGCATTTATATATGTGGTTAACTCATTAGGGACATGGGAATTTATAGCTAAAGAGACTTCAGCGAACAGGTTTTATAGTACTGCTAGACCTGTTTACTGTCGCACAACGTCAAAATAAATGCGGCATATAAAGTTATGGAAGCCAGAACTAGGGAATTTAATGATCTGCCATTAAAACAATAATAATGAAAGTGTGATGATTCACGTCATGCAAAATCTCACATGCTCCTTTTTTACGTGCAAAATAGCCTACAATTCTTTTTGAGCGTGAACGATTTGGCAGGACGACAGCGATAGTAAATAATTTTCATTCATGAATAGATTAAACCGGAAGTCAGATAGCGAGAAATGGACACCAAAACAGAAACAGTTGAGGAAAATTCAGTTAATTCAAAGAAAAACGTTAACTTGGATGCCGCTTCGCTTAAAAAGGATTCGTCAAAGCTTGAAAATAGTGAGGGTAAATTTTATTGGGGTTATTTTTAGTGAAAATAATATTACATTTTACAAAATACGGGCAGTCGTAAGTCAGGGGGAATAATTTTTTTGATGAAAATAACGGTAGCAAGACACCTCACCCCCCAGACACTTCACCCCTCAAATTTTGAAGACACTTCACCCCTTAAGACACTTCATCCCCCAAAATCAGTAAGACGCTTCACCCCTCGTTAAAATATAGTGTAAAGACGCGCTAAATGTTAGCGTTATACTATAGGCGCGTCAGTGTAAAATGACTCTCATTTCACTTTAACAGCCATTCTCCTATAATTGAAGCACTTTTTGATAATTCCTGTCTCCACTTTTAAAATCGTAGTAAAATGTACAGACGAGCTTAATCCTTTGTGACAAACATTTAAATAAGTACACCAGGATGTTCTCAGCAGCTTAACTTAAATTTTGTAGCGTGGATGCTCCTCACTATGTTTCCATAATGACTATTTTCCGTAACAAAACGATCATCCGAATTTCGGTACTGTATACGTTTCAATTGATGGTGTGACTTTTTTGCCTATCACCGCTCCCAATGATACGTCACTTAGAGGTATGCATGCAACATCTTAATTGACTTTTATGATACAATTAGGCAACTGGAGGTAATTGGCAATCACTGTACTTTATTTTTATTAGTCTAGACAATGGGTTAAAACAATAAACATACTCAATCACTATTGAATGTATTTAACATTATCTACATAAATAATTGTTAAACACAAAATAAGAAAAATGAGGGGTGAAGTGTCTTAATCAAATTTCTTAAAATAAGGGGTGAACTGTCTGAGGGGTGAAGTGTCTGCAAAAAAGGGCCTAGGGTGAAGTGTCTGGGGGGTGAAGTGTCTGTAAGCCAAAATAACGTATGATCGCGAGACATTAAAATAAAATACCTTTTCATTCCTTTGCAAAACGCTGTTCACGACACATTTCAGTCCAGTTTACACATGTTTAAGATAACTTTTACAGTTAACATTATTCTCATTTCAAGCTGTCAACATTAATTTTTTGTTGAATTGCTTTTTTAATTTTATCATAATTTTTAAGCTCTAATTGGTGAAATTTTGCATTATGTCTATACAATAAAAAATGTGCAGCCTGACCGGGACTTGAACCTGGGACCCTCGGAATACCGGCTATCCGGCCACATTCACATATACTCCCCTAAATATTGAAACAGTTCTGAACCGTGACATACTCCCCTGCTTTGTTGAAATTTGTCCCTGCAGAGCAACGTAAATTAAACTCTGAGCTATATCCAGTCATGAGCCCCTGTTGGGCGCCAAATGTCACAGGGTGAGAAAAATGTGCCGTCTGACCGGGACATTTGGAATACGTTCCACGGCTCTACCGACTGAGCTATCCGGCCGCTTACACATCTCCCCTAAATAGTTAACAGCTCTGAAACATGAAACAAGAAAAATCCTTACTCTTGAAATTTAGCATCAAACTTTGTCATTGTGCTCATTTGTGACATAAAACTTTACCACAATATGCAACTTTGCCACTTTGTGATTTTCTAGCAATCTTATGAATTGTATACAAATAAGGTAAAGTTTTTAATGTGTTTTGGGTTTTTGAACAAAGTTATCTTGAAGTAATACTACTAGTAACAGGGCTTGAGCTGGGTCAAAATTTTAGGGAGAAGTGACTTCTCCCTCCAGCTGATTTAGGGAGAAGTGAGGAGACTTTAGGGAGAAGTTGGGAGACATGTTAGGCATCATCTGGAGACATGTTTCGTGTCATTTTTTGTTTGTTTTTGGAATTAAATGTAGGAAACTTTATAAACCATAAAAGAATTAAGAAACACCTCTCAAATAAAACAATTCCATAATAAATCTACTTTTCATAATTGTTTACCAATAACAAACACAATATTTACTGTTTACATATATACATATGTAGTGATGTAATTTTCGTTGAAATGAAGTTTTGAGCGATTCCCTAGGATGTTAGAGACAATCACATTTAATTTTGTATATTTATGTCAGCGTGTTAACCACGGAGCTCAAAGATTAATAAAATGATAGATACAAATCATCACATAATTTCTACAGTTTTGTGCTGGGTAGGTTTTTAACAATCAAGATTTCGCTTATATTCACAGATTTAAGACGTTGGGCATTGTCTAACATTTACTTGCCAAAACACCGCAACAATTATGTATATGCCGGAGTCTTTAATCATGTAATCAGCTAAAAATGATTGTGTCAATCGCCATTTGTGTTATTGTCAATTAATAGCTGCAAAATTTTAGTATTTCGCCGATTGGTCAATGCGAACTGCCCTAGATACAACGCGTGTTCTGATTCGCCAATCGCATGAATAAATAATGAGAAAGATATACATAGTGAACTGTTGCCTTACAGGCGTGTATTAGCAGTATATTAGACTTTGTTGAGGTTGACACGTGTTCTAAATAAGCGAATTAATGGTAATTGGTTGTAATTGAGATGTAAACAAAATAAAAACAGACCTAGCGCCGTAAAAAGATATGACAGAATATAAAACATCGGGCGACTTCGAAATCACTTTGAAGTTTGTTTTTGGTGAAGTCACTCTTCCAAAGGCAACTTCTTTGCCCTAGTCAACCCCTAGCTCAAGCCCTGAGTAATCACTTGTTTAGTTATTATCTCGGTATAAAATGAATATTGTCTGAAATCCTCAGCATTGACATTGTGGAAAATCGTTTTTAATATTAATTGGTTTTTTGAACAAATATATCTTGAAATTATAGAAATGACTTTAAAATCTCATTCTAAAATGTTTATTGTTTGAAATTCTTGTCTTTGACATTGGGAATATTTGCCAACAGCTAGTATGGTGTATTGTAAATCTCTGCAACTGCAAAGAAGGAAAAATTATTGCCGATTTATGGCAACTGTTAACACACACTGTAATTTGTACACAACCTATTTTGGTTTGAAGGCTAGATACCTTAAATTAGATTCTATTTTTAAACTGAAATAGTTTTACATTGGATTCATTGACTTTTAAGCATAATCTAATACCATAAAAAATTAGCGAGCATGTAAATTTCAACAAGTCATTGCAATTCTCTCCCTCACCCCTTGCAATTCTCTCCCTCACCCCTCTATATTCTAGTATATATCTAGGGTCACATAATTGGTTCATTAAGTGTACTGGACTGAGTCACTGACATATATTGACTGCAATTATGAATAAATAAACTTTGCATGTGTTTCTTGTAAAGATGTGGATCACTATCTTATTGATTTATCTGCCCCTGAAAGTCAGTTTCTTGTGCAAGACATAGTCATAGGTTTGTGGCAAAAAGGTCAAACATGGAGAATCAATATCTTTATTATGTGAAGTCCATAAGTTTGTCATTCTTAAATAGTCTTGAAAGTAATTTTGCACAAATTTCCCTCATTAAATGATTAGAAATCTAAGACAGACTCTTTGACATTGTATGAAATTTGCAGTCTGTGAAATTAGGGTTTAAAAATTGTTGTCATGCGGGCAACAAATTCAAGAAAATCTGGTTGTCCGAAGCAAAAACTGGTTGCCCGAATATTTTTATCAGAACATCTTCAAGCAATTATTGATCAAATCTGCAAACTTATCTTCAGTGAGAAACAGTCATAAATGTAAGCAAACTAATTGTATTTGATATCTTGCATTTTATCACTTTTCGTTGACATTTTGATAAATACTTTCTGCAAAGTTTTACTTGTCCATCAGGCAAGTAAACTTATAAAAATTGTTTGTCCGGACCAAAAAATGGTTGTCTCAGGCAATAGAACAACTGCTAATTTCGCAGACTGAATTTGGGATAAACTTTATTTCGAATATGTAAATATTGGTTGGAAAAAAAATCAAATTTTTTTTTTTTGTTATCTTTAACAATTATATATTATCTTTCCACATTAAAGATTACTTTGAAACTAAGGAAAAACATTTCATTTTGTTTAAAATATACAACACAATAGAGCAAGCATGTATAAAAGAATGTCTGATCAACTGACCCTTAACAATTTTGGTCAAGGAGTCACTGGCTTGTGAGATTCAGACTCTACAGTAAGCCTTGCACATATTTGTCAATTTGATATGTGTTAAAATGATCAAGATGTTTTGAATAGAAAATAGGAGTATCATTGTTTAATGATAGGGAGTTTGATGTTTTCATTCCTTTTAATGCACTAGTGTCTACATTGTTGCATTTTCTTGCAAAATTATCAAGCTTTTTCTCACTCAATAAAAATGTTTTGCCCCCTCCCTCCTTTCCTCTTTGTTGGTGAAATCATGGATGATAAGCTTCTCTTGCTGTCTTTTAACTTTCAAGTTAAACAAAAACTATCCTTTCAATGTGTATATAAATTCTCTTAATGTCTCATTGTCTAGATAGGAACAAAAGGAACATTTTGTCTTATCTCTTTGCAAGAATAGTAGATTCATAAATCAGCTCATAACAAAGAAATAAGTATGAAATAATTAGTTTATATATAGACAGTCATTCTCCAATCCTGAATTCCATTTGATTTACCATAGAGTTTTTGAAGACTTATAAATGTAATTCCTTAAAGTTTTTTTTTGTAATTTTATAATATAAACATGTGATTTAGACCTTAAATCTTTTAATAAAACATAATAAAGTCATAATAGAAACAAAGACAAGACCAGCTGTTTGCTTTCCTGATTTGATCAGGTTTATTGATGAAAAAAAAATGTGTTTTAACTTTTATGACCACCCATTAGCAAAAAGACAATTTTTTTTCTGATTTCAAAAGATTATTATTATTATTATGATATATGGGTTTGATGGTAACTTGCATTTTCCATCTATGAATAGTCTCAATCACACCGAGCCTGCAACATTTTCAATTTTGCCATGTTGGGCTTTCTTAGGGATCCTGTTATTCTCTATTTGACTGTATGAAGAATTGATAAATTCCAGCAGCCCAGCTTGTAAAAAAAGATAAACATGGAGCAGAAGTTAACTTTTAAAATTGTCATTAGCTAGTTTTAACTGGTCCTGACACAAAATGTTGCAGTGGTTTAATATTGTGTAGGATGCTCTCAGCTTTTCAGGAAATTTAGTACTCCTACGCACCACCATCTTTACTGTAATTGCACCATTATATTGCCAGTAGTAGTTTAGTATCATGAAATAATTAGGGACTAAAACTTGCACGTGTCTCACTGAGGACAGCCTACCTTTATAAGAAGCTTAGAATGTTTATATTAAGAACTAATTTTCTCCAGTATTTAAAGTTTACTAGTTTGACATTTATTTCCTTTCTATAATTAGAATATATCTAGAGTGACTACATCCTTTGTGTAGTGATTGCATATTTAATTATTATGTTAGACTAGTACTGCTTTAATTAGTTTTTAAGAAGCTTTCAGTCAGTGCTGCGTCCTACTTTTTTTTATCGAGCCAATTTCTCTCATTGCATAGGCTGCTTAACTGGCTAAAGTAGAGATTGTTTCAATTTGGGAGTGATTAATTTTTGTTTATATTTGTAGAGTTTTGTATTAATGAAATACTTTTTCAAATTCAATGCATAAGAGGTGGAATAAAAATTTTTTTTTTTATATATAGCTAAATGCCGTGTTAACATACTGTTGGAAGAATGTCAATGCAAAGATATGTTATTTCAAGGTTAGCTGTTTTCATTAAGTGTTATATAATAGGTTTATGATGGCACTTAAATGTAATAGTGTGATGTGCAAAAGACCTGTTAGAAGCTTTTGATATTTGTTCGGCAACAGATGATCTCTACACTGTAGTCCTTTACATTAATTTTTTTTTCATATGAATTTATACAACCTGCCATCAATTGGAAATTTTATTGTAAGGTTTCAAAGTCTCGCATATCTTTTTAGGGTTGCTGGTCTATTTCATTTCTTAACTTCTAGAATGATGCATTGAAGACCTATTCATTTATACTCTGTCTGAATTAATCAGTCTTAGCATAAAATGAATTTGATCAATGCCTTAGACAGGTAGTTTCTAATGTAAATACAGTTGCATTTGTTGTATATAAAATAACATGGGTAAGATAAGATTTGGTTTTTCTGTATTAAGTGATGTAAACATTTTGCATGTATATTGAGAAAAAAAAACTTAATATATTCCAAATAGGAGTTAATGATCATAACTTGAAAGTAATTATATACATTCAAGTATAGTTTTTCCTGATAGGTTATTGTCTTATTTGTTACATCTAGAGTTTAGTACCAATTATTTTTCATAATCTACTAGATTTCATAAACAATTAAAATAGTATACTGTACAGTGCTGTTTAGTGCAAAATTTTTATATGACATTCAGCCCAATTCAACTCTCCAAAAAAGTCTATATATTCCACTATTTCTGAAAAAAAGTTTAATATTATTTTCCCCCTGAGATCAGTTTTATCCAGACAGTGGGACAGACACAATATTTTCATGATAGTGTTAAATAAAAATTCCAGAATTTTTCCCAATATTCTCTTCCAGGATGCACAGTGGGCCCTGCCACCATTCCCCTAGAATTGAAAAAAAAATTATGTTTTATGTTGAAAAGGAACCATACACTTTTATAATGTAATGTTTCCTACTGATTTTGAATGAGAGTGAAAACAGGTTTTTTATATGTTAAGTTTTTTTTGCTGAATATATTAAAAGAGTGTGGCTATCTGTCTTTATCTGTCCACCTCATGTAGATAAAATGCATGACACCCCTCCTGTACCTTGCTGAATGTTCACAAGAGTTTTCTTCTTTATTTCTAATTCATTTTTGCTTTGCTTTATTTGCTGTTTTAGACGCTCTTACCAGTCAACTGCTGTAGTCATGTTCAAACTAGGAGGTCACAAATCAGGTTAGTGTATACCAGCAGTTACCTCCCTTGCACTGTTCTCCAAAGAATGCATCTCTGTTGAAGGGAAAGTACAATGGGGGATTCTTGTTTGTTTTGTTGAATGTTTGATTTATTTTAATCAACGTTTCTTTGGAATGGTATTTTCAATTTATGTAAAATGATATTGGTAATATTTTATTGAAATTATTGGCAGGAAATGATATCTGAAAGAAGTTATTATTTGTAATCATTTGAAGGGATATGAATACTTTCAAAATCTGTTTTGGTTTTTCATACAATAATGCAGTATTCAAAGCTGAAACTATTATATAAAGCAGAAATTTGTGAAAATAAATAAATTTAGATAACTTTGAATAAATATTATAGTTATATATTAATGAAGATACGATTCATTTGTGATAAACAAATTAAAAAGATAAGTAAGTCATTGTGGATTTCTAAATCACTGTGGGTTTATCTGAATATCTAATTTTGTTGGGTAATGCCACTGGTTTGAACTTAATTAACCCTTAACCTGCTGGAACCCAGTGAAGAGCTTGTGCCACCAATAAAAGAGCCAGGCCAGCCTGTATGTCCGTGCAGTTAGGTCAGGCTGTATACTGTTGGTTACGCTCAATATTTGGATTTTATATTGAAATCCCTTGAAATTCAAATGAACTGTTCCAGCTTCAAAGCAGGGCAAATCCATTACTTAAATTCAGCAGATTATGGATATTTTTAAAAGTATCTTTGGAGGACATGTTATTCTAATCAGAAAGATGTAGATTCAGCAATGAAACAATATTACTTTAAAACTTTTCCTTTATATTATTAAAAATAATGGGAAATTTTTGAGAACAATCTTTCTGAGAAGAATCCAGCAACATAGATTATATCCAGGACAACTCTTGTTGTGGATTATTATACTGACATACTGTACTGTATATTTCAGCATTACTAACACTTAATGTATCTTGTATATTCTAGACAAAAATCTCCTCAATAATCCATCAAACTTGCACTCTCTGCTTGCATACTATACAATCTTATCTATATTATATATTTATATAAGCTTTTTAATCAGCTAGTTCTCTAGTTAAGTATTAATAGAGTGACAGGTGAGGTAGACCACCAATATGAAATTTGGGTTCTGCATGCAAATGAAAAATACCTTTATTAAGTTTTTAGCTCACCTGAGCACAACATGCTTAAGGTGAGTCCATATGATGAACCTTTTTTCTGTTAACAATAGTGATGATGTTTTACAGGACTGTTCCTTAATGGTCCTCTTTAGAAATTACTCAAATTAGATACATAGAGATACATGTAATGACATGCCAATGCCAATATCTGATTTGTACATCCATGCAAACCGAGTAGGTTATATACTTAGTATTGACTGCTAAATTTCATTCAATAGCTCAATTGTTCCGAGAATAAGACTAATCCGGGCATCTGAGTTGCATCACACTTCATTAAGTTATAACTCCAATATGACTAAAGAGAATAGGTTGAAACTTCACACCTTTGTTTTCAGTGATTATCAGACATGATAGATACAGGTCTCATAACTCTGAGTTAACTTTAAACGGAGTTATACCCCTATATTACTGTCAAGCACTGAGAATTGTCAAGCAGACTGTTTTACGGACAGCTCTTGTTAAACATTGAAATCTGAGAAGTTAATATTGGACAGTTGAAAATTCAAAGCAGGATAGGTCAATAACATTACAATGTAATTTAGCAGAGTAAAAAGAAGAATACACAATGTATTAATAAAAAATATTTTAAGTGTGTTTGATCCCAAAATGTCATGTGGTTACTTCACCTTACCATTATCTGTCACACTTTTCCACCTTTTAAATCAGCATGACGGATTGTAGACTTGTGTATTATAAACCTGCTTACATCATATACAATATTATATATGTATAATATATATGCTTGACACTTGTTTTATGACACGCATTACTTATATACATTATGTACAAAGTTTCTGTAGTCTGTATATCATGTATTCCAGACACTTGTATGAAAAAAGCTTCACACTAGTTTCATATAATTTATATAGAGACAATACACATAAACATGTTTATATATATATAATAACATTAATATACTTATAATACTTATAGTATGTTTATGCAGTAATGTACTTGTATATTCTAGTGTTAGTACTTTTATAGGAAAGCTATTTTAGAACTCCACTAAATTAAATAAACATTTGTTCTTAGTAATAAATGTAAATTTGTTGTTTGTTAAAAAATATGATAATGCACCAACTAATTGTAACTTGTAACCTCCGCCCTGCGCCTAGGGAACATTGCACTAGCAGAGTCTCTTAAATCCCCATTAAAGGCACGACACTTGTGGAGACAATCAGATAGGAAAGTCTCCACTGAATGCCCTCTCACTACAGCATGTGCATATTCAGCATGGGGCTAAAGGGGGTAATTCCCCTTGTCCCCATGGCATTTTGCTAGACTGTGGAACCTCTCTCAACTTACTTTATAAAAAAAGTATCACAAACAACAAACTGCAGCTATTTTGGGGCAAAAATAAACCACTGCATTGAGTTGGTACTGAGTGGATAGTCAGAAGGGAAAATCTGTTTACTTTTCCGTCCATTTTCCCCTGCTTTGCCCTTGCAGTCCCTTGGGTGAGGGGACAGGGTTACAAATGGTGCATTATGGATATTAAAACATTTTATTTGTTATTTTTGTTGTTAACGTATTAAGGAAGTTTTTACCCTTTCATTTTTTTTGTGATTTTAATGTTGTTTTAGAGAATATATTTATCAAATCATTTTATGAAACTTTTTTCTTTGCACTGGGTATGCAGGTTGTTGGCTAATTTGCTCTCTTTTGTATTTACATCTAAAGCAACACTTATCTAAAGCATCTGGTTCAACATTGATAATTTTTGATAAAATTGCCAGTAACGGGTGTGGTCAGGAAATGCTCTAATAGATTGCTGTAAAAAAAGTTTATTTTCAACTGAAATGTATGATTCTGAAGCCAAGAAATAACCAAGAAATACCACACAATCTTGCACACAATGTATTATTCGTGTAAAAATTTACCTGAAAAAAGTGATAATTGTAACAAATACTTATCTTTAAACTTTCTACTAAGTACCCAATTGTTTTTTTTATCTGTATTACATGTATATGGGAAGTATATATACTGTAAAAACAAAGGAATTGAAAAGATAATAATTTTTATTTTAAACAGTGGAAAATATCATTATAAGAGGAAAACAGAATATTATATGAAAATGTTGAAATGAATGGGAATTATGGAGAATCTCAGTTAACCACTATACTTGGTCTATCTTAATGACCATCTTAATTAATATTCATGTGAACTGTAGAGATAGTTAATGTCCTTCAATATAAAGTGATTAATATTGAATATGTGTCTGCATGTAACAAGATAATCAATTTATAATTAGACAGTGAACTGACTGTAACCATTATCTGAGCCGCGTCACGACAAAACCAACATAGTGCGTTTGCGACTAGCATGGATCCAGACCAGCCTGCGCATCTGCGCAGTCTGATCAGGATCCATGCTGTTTGCTTACCAACCCTATTACAAGAAGAGAAACTGATAACGAACAGCATGGATCCTGATCAGACTGCGCGGATGCGCAGGCTGGTCTGGATCCATGCTGGTTGCAAACGCACTATGTTGGTTTTGTCATGACGCGGCTCAATTCTTAATTTTGTGTCATAACCAGCTGTCCTTGTGACAAGTTATAAGTTTACTTCAGCGGTGGAAAAGAATGGTGCTTTGCAGAAAGAGCTGTTTGTAGGTAGGATGTTTTTTAATGTTGGAAAAATGCTACCCAGGCCATGTTTCAACACCTGAAAAGATTCCCAATTCTATTCACGTACCCATGCACCAAACTGACCCAGACAGCAAAGTGGCATTTTCATATCCTAACGCTTCATTAACAAATGCAAAAATTGCTTAATTTTTTGAAGTACATAACAGTTGCAGAGGACATAGCTTGCATTACTCTCTGTAAAGGAGGGTGGGGGGAGGTAAAGGTTCATTACAGGACTGGAGCAGTACCTCTAGGGCCCTTGCAGAAATCATTATCATAAAATAGAGAAATATCGGATTTTTTTCACCGATTTTTACATTTTTCATTCATTATTATACATAAATCTAAATCGGTGTAAAAAGATGAATTAGACCTTTTAAAGGCAAGATTTTAGCATTTTATCATTCAAGCGTCTTGTCCGGTATATACCAGAATATACCGGAATATGATATTTAGTGTGGTGCTCCAACCCTTTTTTTAGTCTCACTCGAGGTTAAATGATTCATTGTTGAATATCTGCCCTTTCATGTTTGTAAGAGTTTTATTCTGAATGTTTATCATATTTATTCTAACATAAGAATATATTTAAGAAGAAAATTTTTAGAGGATATGATATAATAAACTATATTAAACCCTTAGCAGCCCTTAGCCTACTGATGGCATCTGAATGTAACCAGTGCTGATTGATCATGGTCTGCACTGTTCGCCAATCAATCAGTACTATTTTGGAAATTTTTCCTTAAATGTTCAGATTGCAAGATGGACAAGTCTATTTAAGTCATAATGTTTATTTAAGTCTTATTAACAGGGTTCGTACAGTCTTAAAAAGTGCTTAAATTTGAGTCTCTTTCTTAAAAAGTGCTTAAAAATGTAAAAAAGTGCTTAAAAGTCCTTGAATTTGATTACTCTCTTGAAAAGTGCTTAAAAAGTGCTTAAATTTGCTAAAAATGTGCTTGAAAATGTTTGAATCACAGAATGACATAGTTTTGATAAAAATCAACGGTTAACAAAATTAAAAAAAAAAAGATCCAATTTAGTATCAAAATCAATGAAATGTTTACTCAAGGTAACAGTAAGTTGACAAATTGCAGTTGTTTTGAACTAATCTGTACTTGATGCGCCCTTAGTTGTTCTTCTATAATGTTATTCAACAAAAATGGTGAACAAACTATCCATCATAGGTTGAAGATTGTGGCGGTATATGTGCAACAAATGTGCTGGAAAAATGGGAAAACGTGCTGAAGTAGTGCTTAAAAAATCCTTGAATTTTGGCATTGGATGTCTGTACGAACCCTGAATTTAAGTTCATTTAATTTTTATTCATTAAGTCCATTAAAGTCTTATTAAGTCCATTTAGGTCTATTAAGTCCATTTGAGTCCATTAAGCCTGTTAAGTCCATTTAAGTCTATTTAAGCGTGGTTAAGGGTTAAGTACTAAAACATGATAAAAGCTGAAACTGTAAGTATTGTTCGTTTCATTGTATGTTATCTATGAAACATGCAATTTAATAGCTATCAAGTGTTATTTGATACGGTATTTTATTCTTGATATGTTTAAGCATGCAATTCTTTCACAGTTCCTTAATTAGGCTAATTTACGATTGTTTAAAAAAAACAATAGCTAACACTGTGATAAGTCAAGTGTTAAGTGTTATATACAATAATTTGTACAAATGTAAAAAGTATGGAATTGAGTCATTAACTTGTTTGTTTTGTGCGAGTTTGCACGCATTGTTAATATAGGAAGTAAAGTGCCAATTTTAGTATGGAGTTTTATAATAAATATTTTACTAATTTAATGGGACAATCTTGTAAGTATTAATACTTGAAAATTTTAAAATAATAACATTATAAAAGGTTTCATAGCAGATTCAGAAAATCTGTTGACTATGCAGCAAATGATAATGAAAAATTGACTTAAATTTGGTTTGGAAACTCTATAATGGTAAGATCCAGTATGCTTTTATAAGATTTAATTTGTATTTGATCTTTTTCCAGCTATTTTATAGAATTATAATATTTTTTATACTTTGTTAGGAACTTTGGGTGTGAGAATAAATAGTTCACAGTGTCCGACTTTGATTTCTGTCCTGTGAGGAAGTTGTTCAGCTACATTAAGCTATGTGGGGAACTGGTGGGTCTTCTTACATGTACAAATGTAGGTCCCTGCTTGTACCTGGTGAACTGGTTGGTCTTTTCAGGGCCCTTCTTAACCTTTTCCCTTATATAAGCGTGTTTCGACGGCTTTTTGCCCCCCCCCCCCCCCTTTTTGAGGTCTCAAACATAGGAAAAATGTCCTATTTAGACCCCAAACACTGTTTTTCGTTTGAGAAATGTTGTTAAAAAAAGTGACCATTTTTTCGGCGCCATCCCCCATCCAAATAATACATCAGGGGGTTGCCAGAAGGGGGATGTGCCCTCTTCTGTTTGGGGGGTTTGAAGGGGGGCGGAGTCCCCCTCATTGCCAAGAAAATTTTGGACTTGTCAGAGGCTTAAAATGACCACAGGTTGATCATAAGGTAACGTGTAACCAACGCTGAAAAGCCTTTGACTCTATCTCAATCCCTTGAGAAGTTGCAGCACTTTGAAATAAATTTTGATGGAAAATATCGAGGCAAAAAAGTGATTTTTGGCAATTTTGAGATGTCCCCTCGTTGCCATGGTAACAGGAAATTTAAGACTGAGCATGTCGTTACAAAGGCAATGGTCCAGTCAACATTTGTGCAAAGTTTGATTAGTATTGAAGCATTTTTCATAGTTTCATAGCAGTTTGAACTTGTAAGAGGACGCTTTTCAGTGAAAATGGCCATTTTTCACAATATGCTCATGGGGGAAAGGGTTAAGTACCTGCAATAATGCGCAAAAAGGCACTTAAGAAGTCTTTACCAGTGAAAAGTGAAAAATGGCCTTATAAGTTACGATCTTAAATGTGCTGATTCTATTTCATAATTTTACATATATTTATAATTAAGCATATAGATGAAATGACTGCCTCACTACTGACACACATTGTCAGCAACAATATTGTTAATAAATTTATCATTCATGCTTCATGTTCAACGTGATACTATATTTAAAGTATTTTAATTAACATTATTCATTTTATCTTTCAACATTTAGATTTCAACAGGAAAGGAAAACTTCCGACAAAGTTAAATGTAGATCTATAAGGAGGTCTATATTTAACAATTTAAATTATATATCTTTTAATAAACATTATGAATTAACTTACCAGTCAAAATGATTTATGTTGGATATAAAATTTTGATGGGTTAAACCTTTGGGACCATTCTAATGATTACTAAGAGCTAAAAGGGACATCAATAACTTGATAGGCTGAAAGGTGAAAGTTACTAACTTTAAATCATTACAGCTTAACCCTTACAGTTGTAGGTTCGATTCTCACAACTGACCTACAGACTGAATGATTTTAAGAGAGGAAGATATCCAGCTAGTTTAAGCAGGATGGACGGGTCTAAATTTTGCCTTGTACACCGGAGACAGAAAGTCATATGGTTTTAAAGATGTGGTTAAAAAAACTTCCTTGTCTTTAAGAAATGTTTGATAATTAATACAGAATAAATAATTGCATTATTCAGCAGTTTTAGAAGGCAGAATTTATTATCAAATAATATAGAAAATACTGCAAAAAAAATTACATATGATAGTAGATTTTGTTACTGTGATTTTGAAATATTTTGGCTCTGTTTGTTACTTTGTATGGAGTTCATGATTATTTTAGAAACGTTTATAGAAGGTCTGGTTAGCTCAATAGGTAGAATGTTGGACTGTGAATCTGGGGACCCTGGTTCAATTCCCGGACGGCGCAGTTCACTTTCGTTGTGATTGATCATGAAATCTTTCCTACCGTCATTCCCACTGTGTAAGTCTGCTCTGGCATGTACAGAAAGTGAAGGCAACTAGTACTGGTAAACGGCTTGACAGCCTGCCCAGGAACGATGGGGGTGGCTGAACTGTGCTCTGGTAAATTCAATGTGGCTGACTGCAGCAATCCGGGGTGAAAACTACCAACTACCAACAAGACACACACAAGGTTTCCCTGATTCTTTGATAAGTTGAAAGCAACAAAATGTTTGACTCTTTGATAATCACAGACACTTTGGAGGTCTGTGTAGGACCTATGTTAAGGGCTCTTGAGACTCTTGGTAACTTTTATCATTGTAACACAAACGTAGCATCATTCTCTGTCAATAATTAAACATGTTTAAATTCAATTTGCACATTTAATAATTAAATAAAATATTTTTTACCATCAAGTTACAATTATTAATAATTGCAGTGTCTATTCTAGGAGGTGGGATGGGGGGATTCACTCCTATTTTCGAGAATTCCCCTCTTATTTTTTCAGAGGCAGGGTGAAAATTTTACATAAAGAAAGAAGGAAAAAATCAGTAAATGCAATAAATTCTCACTTTTCGATAAAAATCCCCCCTGTTTTTCAAATCCTAGAATAGACACTGTAATTGGATGTTTTAATGCATCAAAATAAGTAAGTAAATGAGACAGATGTTCCATTTGTGTAAGTTTATAAAAAGTTACTAAGGGCTGCCTTGATATAAATGATCAAGGTAATGGGTCAGGGTCTGATCCTCCAAATGGTTATTGAAATGAGTTGCCTATTCTGCTAGTTAAGAACCAATCAGGTCAGTGCACATGTGTAGGCTGACAATGCTTGTATTTTTGGATATAAAAAATTCCTCATATTAACAAGAGGCAAATATACAAAACTTGTCAAGTATACAAATTCTAAAAGGAAGTGGATTGAAATTTCATAGTTGGTCATTCAACTCACTTTAGGATAGTCATGGAAAACTATGTACAGTCATGAATCTGTGTATATGTATACAGCGTATGAGTCAATTAGTACATGTATGCCATATATAGACATATTGCAGCATTCTAATTAGACGTACGTATATACACTAAACCTGTCATGTGGTTTGATACAGATAATTATATTGCTG